AAATGGCAAAGCCGCACTAGGTGAAAAAAAAAAGGCTGGGGGGAGGGGGGTTGTGAAATTTAAGGCTGGCTGTCAGTAGCTAGAGGGTGCTTGGCTATTGCTTTGCTTGGGGCATGAGAGATGTGAAGTAGTAGTAGTAGTAGTAGTAGTAGTAGTAGTAGTAGTAGTAGTAGTAGTAGTAGTAGTAGTAGTAGTAGTAGTAGTAGTAGTAGTAGTAGTAGTAGTAGTAGTAGTAGTAGTAGTAGTAGTAGTAGTAGTAGTAGTAGTAGTAGTAGTAGTAGTTGTAGAAGCAGAAGCAGAAGAAGAAGCAGAAGAAGAAGAAGAAGAAGAAGAAGAAGAAGAAGAAGAAGAAGAAGAAGAAGAAGAAGAAGAAGAAGAAGAAGAAGAAGAACAAGAACAAGAACAAGAACAAGAAGAAGAAGAAGAAGAAGAAGAAGAAGAAGAAGAAGAAGAAGAAGAAGAAGAAGAAGAAATAAATTTAGAAACGAAAGGGAAAAAGAAGCCATTAAGAACAACTGACACTCCTTAAATTAAGCAACTCAGCAAATGAACAAATCAACGAGTGAATCAGTAAAGATAAGTATTCATTCGTTAAAGCTTACCCCGCCCCCTGCCACGCCCCACCCCAACGGCCCTCCCACCACCCCCTCAAATACCCCAAGAATCTGGGCATAGAGTTACTAAAGAAAACACCTTGGACTCCAGGGCTGATCACCTGTCTGTGGTCAATACGGACAATTCTTTTTCGACTTTCTTGCTGACACTGCAGTTGCTATGGCTGGCCCAGTACTGAACAGAAGTGATGTTATCATTGCCATGCGCTGCACTTACCGTACTGAGCAGCACGCCAAAGGACATGACTCCATATCCCTGTCTAGACTGATGGACATAGGGGTACAGCCTAGAGCTGCAAGAAATTAACATTTCACTAAAGGACAAGACGTTTCATTAACCAACACAAAACAGGCGTCATCAGTCGTTTTACACTTGATGAGCTTTTGAGAAAAAGGTCGGAGCACCTATGGATCTGTCCGGAGGGCTGTGATGATAATCCTTTTTAATCACTAATCACTAATTCTTTTTCTCACACAACAATTAGTTTCCTGACCGTAGCATCAGAAAACTACAGACACACGCACTCGTTTACTGAAACACTTGTTTTCCGCTTCTGTTCCTGAGAATGTTTCACAGCTCTAGGTTGTAGACAGGTTTCCCAGAAATACGTCGTGGAATCTCGTCTTGAAACGTGACCTTAAATTGTTTCCTAGCGCTTGTTATACATTTTGGAAATGTATCAATGAATTGTACACTACATTTGATAAACGCATCCTTGAATTGTATTTTGGAAATGTTTAAATCATCATCTTCTTCTTCTTCTTCTTCTTCTTCTTCTTCTTCTTCTTCTTCTTCTTCTTCTTCTTCTTCTTCTTCTTCTTCTTCTTCTTCTTCTTCTTCTTCTCCTGCTCCTGCTCCTGCTCCTGCTCCTGCTCCTGCTTCTGCTTCTGCTTCTGCTTCTTCTTCTTCTTCTTCTTCTTCTTCTTCTTCTTCTTCTTCTTCTTCTTCTTCTTCTTCTTCTTCTTCTTCATCTTCTCCTTCTTCTTCGCGTTCACTGGCTGTTAACTCTGGCGGAAAGTTCTAGTTGTTTGTCCACTTCTAGACTTTAGTCTTGTTCCAGAACCTGATCGTTGCGTGCCTATCCGTTTCACAGATCTGACTTATTTTTATACAGATTTTTGTTTCATTGCCTCTTATGCAGATGCACTCTGACTTTGAAGGAAGCTCCCATTGAATCGTCTCTTACGACATGCTTGTTGGGGAGTTAAAGTGACATGTATCCTTGAGTTGTAGTTTGGAAATGTTTCTGGGGATGATTCTGGAGAAAGCTAGAGGAACAACTCCTGGACAAATGTTGGACAATTCTCTAGTAAACAGCTGTCGTTACTTCTGCCATTTAATTATCTAGTAACAAATCCTGTCACAGAATTAACTAGAAACCAATCCTCTCCAATCGTGTTACATAATTCTCTGAAAACCAATCCTCTCCAATTTTGTCACATTATTCTCTAGAAACTAATCATCTCTTATCCTGTCACAGAATTCTCTAGAATTCAATCCTCTCCAATCTTGTCGCAGAATTCTCTAGAAACCAATTGGAATGAACTTTTAGCTTACACCGGCTTTAACATCTAGGGTTGACAACACAAACGCAAGTCGGCTCCTTTGCACATGCTGTCAGTTTATTCAATTACTTTTATTCCACAGCTTCCACAATTATTTACACTTCTATCGCTCACGACATATTCAAATACTAGTCATTCTCGCGACATAAAGACTACATCTTCAAATAACTGTAACCGTCTTCCACGACTTCTGTTGATCAACTGACCACGAGTCTAGCTCGGGCTTCCCTCGCTTACTCGACTAGCCACAAGTATCTCGTGCCGTCCCTTGTTGCACGGACTTTATGCTTGCCACTATGTAATCGTGGAGACCATGCAAAGCACCGCATCATACCAATCCTCTCCAATCCTGTCACAGAATTCTCTTGAAACCAAACCTCTCCAAACTTGTCACAGAATTCTCTAGAAACAAATCTTCTCCAATCCTGTCACAGAATTCTCTAGAAACCAAACCTCTCCAATCTTGTCACAGGATTCACTAGAAACCAATCCTCTCCAATCTTGTCACAGAATTCTCTAGAAACTGATCTTCTCCAATCCTGTCACAGAATTCTCTAGAAACTAAACCTCTCTAATCTTGTCACAGAATTCTCTAGAAATCAATCTTCTCCAATTTTGTCACAGAATTCTCTGGAAACCAATCCTCTCCAATCTTGTCACAGAATTCTCTAGAATGTAATTGTCCTGCGTCCTGTTAGAGATAAGTCGTCCTTTTTTTTAGTCAGAAAATTCTTTAATAATGATAATGATGATAATAGTACAAATAAAAATCGTACTTCTTCCTGCTACAGAATTATGCAGAGATTTGAGTTAAGCTCCGCTATGAACTGACATCACGGCACTCAGGAAACTCCTGTAAGCGCTTTGTCCTTATCTTCAGCAGCCAGCGCAGAGTTCCAGTTCAGATGCTACTAGCAGCAGCGGGACTGTATCAGTCCCCCACGCTAGATTTTCTCAGTAGGGTGCAAGTCCTCGAAATACCGCCTCCCTTACAGTGACGCCTGATGCGGCCGGTCCTCTGTACCCTAGCACGGCATGACACTTGTCTGGTGTGTGCCGTTACGGGACGGTGTAGAATAGAGACGGTCCATTGTTTGTACGTGCATGACAGATCATTGACGGATCGTGACGGTTCGTGTGAGTACTCGTATGACCGATAGGTGAACCACAGTCCAGCCCGATGTATTTACGACAGCGATAAAGCGGAACTGACGTGAGCGCTTCGCTTGTGTGTCCACGGGTCATGCCTGGATTTGGGTAAGCTGTAAGCCACGAGGAAGATTGGACAAGAAAAGTCGGACACTGGACGTGAGACAGGAGAAATCTGATAGAGTGATGGTTTATAATTCCAGCGTGTTGTAGTGATATCCTAGTGACTGATAACTTGTGATAATGTGTTTCGTTAGGGTATCGTAGTCCCCCTGTGTTTTGTAGCGTTTAACGGCGACATTGTTTTGTATAATGTGTCGCGTAAGTAGTGTTGAGGTATTCTAATAGCCAGGGTTGGTTTTGAACTGGCTGTTGTGATATTATCAATCCCTGTACACTGTCCCCCTCACTCTGCAGTCCCTGCGAGATCCTAGTGTAGTCCACTTAGTTCGTTAGTCTTTCCTCTTGTGTCGAGTGCGGCACATAGGGCAGAGGTCATGACTCTCCATGCTTGGCGGTTGGTTGCAATCTGTTGTAGGTCTTGGATGTTTGAGTGGCCCATGAGCGAGCCTTCCCTGATGATAGTTCTTCGTAGGGTTTCCCTTGGTCTTCCACGAGATCTTTTCCCCTGTGGTGTCCAAATGAGGGCTTGGTAAGGAAGTCTTGATTTATCCATTCTAAGGGCGTGGCCGACATAGTTCCAGCGGCGTTTTCGTATAAAATTAGACACACTGGCATAGGAAGAAAGCTCACCAGGAGCAGTGTTGGTTTGGACCTGAGTATTATCCATGGGGACAGGAAGGCTTGCAAGGTTATTAGTAAAGCCATCACGGTCTTTGTTTCGGGTAAGGGTGCACTCATCTCCTGAAGTCAGCTATCTCATGTTAGTCTGTGCTTTACATTAGAGATTGTTGTGTGTGCTCTGTGGGTGTTCGGTTTAGTGTTTTTTTCCACCGAATAGATTGTCGGTCACGTGCCAATACAACAAACCACGAATCATCATAGTAGATCAGAGGTCTGTCTAGCTTCCCCTCAATGTTGAGTGTCGCTAAATCCCTTGCAGTCACTTTCCCCTCTATAGTGAATGTCGCTAAATCCCTGCAGTCACTTTCCCCTCTATAGTGAGTGTCGCTAAATCCCTGCAGTCACTTTCCCCTCTATAGTGAATGTCGCTAAATCCCTTGCAGTCACTTTCCCCTCTATAGTGAGTGTCGCTAAATCCCTTGCAGTCACTTTCCCCTCTATAGTGAATGTCGCTAAATCCCTGCAGTCACTTTCCCCTCTATAGTGAATGTCGCTAAATCCCTTGCAGTCACTTTCCCCTCTATAGTGAGTGTCGCTAAATCCCTTGCGGTCACTTTCCCCTTTATAGTGAATGTCGCTAAATCCCCTGCAGTCACTTTCTCCTCTATAGTGAGTGTCGCTAAATCCCCTGCGGTCACTTTCTCCTCTATAGTGAGTGTCGCTAAATCCCCTGCGGTCACTTCCGCCTGTACCACTCACTCTCTTGAGATTGGTATTTTTCGAACAGCACTGTTCACTCGCTCCCAAAGGGCCTTGGTAATACTTATCTTGTCATGCAGAAATTTACCACCCAGTGGTGCAAGGCCCGTCAGTTTAGTGAATTGTATAATTCCTACAGTAACAAGGATTTTCGAATTATCCGCACTGCTATAAATAGACGCTGTTTTTGTAAGAAGTCCCCACCAAAAGACAACAAGTACCATTCTCATGACTGCTGTTGAAAATTTCCCTGTCGTTATGACAACCATTGTTATTTTCTCTGCTAATCGGAGACCCACCCGCCTTTTCACTTCGTCTGCTGTATTTTCGCTCATTTTGTGAACATCGATAAAGCTGAATGGAAGCAGCCGAACAGGCTGCGGAATGGGAGTCGGTTCGCCGTTTTGAGAACTGTTGTTTGATTTCGTTTCGGAACTTCCGTCCACTGAGGCAATATAGATAGAAGTTGAAGGTGTTGTTGCAGTACATGATGATGCTGACCGACGCCCAAGCTAATTCTGTCCGTGCGGCGCCTATAGAAGTCTTCATGATCACTTTAGCCGATTCACCCCTTTCCCACATATTATACATACACGTGGGTGACGTAGTCAACAGAAATAAGGTACTCAGACATATAAGAATGACTGTCATTGACGAAGCTCGCCGCCTTCTCAAATTGGCTCCCTTCTCTGATGTTAAATTCAGCTCTGCTGCAGTTTTTAAGGAAAGAAATGTTTTCCATATAATAATTATATTTCCGAGAATAACACAAACAAATGGAATCAGCGATAAAAGTACTAAATCCACAAATGGATATATGCTGTGAAGGAACGTATTATATTCTTCTGTCGAAGGCAAACAAATTAGAGTCTGATTTCCCTCCGATTCCCGTAAAGTCATTCCAACAAGAAAATGTGATTGCATGCACGACTGCAAAACCACAATCAGGATGATAAGACAACACGCTCTTCGTTTGGTACAAAACATGTTAACCCGGTGAGGTACACACGCCGAGAACGTTCTTTCTAACGTCATGAAGACCAAAAGCCAAGCGGAGACATACAGAGCCACATAGACCAACCATGGGTGGCCCCTGCACAGAAGTGAATGCAAGTCCCGAATGTCAATCCCGAATGTCCAGATAATCCACCATCTGAGAAGACCTGTGTACAGGACGCATAAGTCCGATATAGCCAAGGCTCGCAGGTACATGTGCATGGAGGTTCGGCCCAGTCGTAAAGTTCTCAGCATCATGAGAATGAAGATGTTGCCAAACGTGCCGAAGAGGAAGAGAATCACCGGGCAGACCTGGAAGGGAAAACGTTTACATAATAAGTTTATACGTTATAGATGGAGTGTATATATGTCGGTGCAATCCAAAAGCACTGAAACATTCCAGCAGTGTAGGGTAGAAATACAAGACGACAAACAGGGTCTTTTCTCCCTCTACATCCTGGGGTAGAAGTACAAGACTACAAGGTCTTATTTCTCTCTACATCCTCGGGTAGAAGTACAAGACTACAAGATCTTATTTCCCTCTACATCCTGGGGTAGAAGTACAAGATCTTATTTCCCTCTACACCCTAGGGTAGAAGTACAAGACTACAAGATCTTATTTCCCTCTACACCCTAGGGTAGAAGTACAAGACTACAAGATCTTTTTCCCGCTATATCCTGGGGTCAAAGTACACATTTTCTACCCGTTTTTACTAAACGTTATCGCTTGTTTTTCTATTCTTTACAGTGTTATATCGGTGCATTTCTCGAATTAGATTATAAATGTGTACATACTTACGGTTTTTTCATAATATAGATAAATCAAATCCCCTCCAGTAACGAAACTGTTAGTACATTATGATATTCTAATTCATTATTCTCTAACACGCTACAGTAACAGACAGGAAAGAGACTAAATTACCCCGACCCCCTTCCCTCTTAATCAAGAAGAAGCTAAATCCAGCTAGCCACAAGCAAGATGTAGCCAAACCCTGCTAGTCTCATATACAATGGCTAGCTAAACCCTGCTAGAACCAAGCAAGGCTAGCCACAAGCGAAAGGTAGCTTAACCCTGCTGGCCCCAAGCAAGGGCTCCACAAACACGCTAGCCACAAGCAAGGGCTACACAAACACTGCTAGCCACAAGCAAGGGCTACACAAACACTGCTAGCCACAAACAAGGGCTACACAAACACTGCTAGCCACAAACAAGGGCTACACAAACACTGCTAGCCACAAACAAGGGCTACACAAACACTGCTTGTCACAAGCAAGGGCTACACAAACACTGCTAGCCACAAGAACTACACAAACACTGCTAGCCACAAAAACTACACAAACACTGCTAGCAACAAACAAGGGCTACATAAACACTGCTAGCCACAAACAAGGGCTACACAAACACTACTAGCCACAAAGGCTACACAAACACTGCTAGCCACAAACAAAGACTACATAAACACTGCTAGCTACAAACAAAGACTACACAAACACTGCTAGCTACAAACAAAGACTATACAAACACTGCTAGCTACAAACAAAGACTACACAAACACTGCTAGCTACAAACAAAGACTACACAAACACTGCTAGCCACAAACAAAGACTACACAAACACTGCTAGCCACAAACAAAGACTACATAAACACTGCTAGCTACAAACAAAGACTACACAAACACTGCTAGCTACAAACAAAGACTACACAAACACTGCTAGCTACAAACAAAGACTACACAAACACTGCTAGCTACAAACAAAGACTACACAAACACTGCTAGCCACAAACAAAGACTACACAAACACTGCTAGCTACAAACAAAGACTACACAAACACTGCTAGCTACAAACAAAGACTACACAAACACTGCTAGCTACAAACAAAGACTACACAAACACTGCTAGCCACAAACAAGGGCTACATGAACACTGCTAGCTACAAACAAAGACTACACAAACACTGCTAGCTACAAACAAAGACTACACAAACACTGCTAGCTACAAACAAAGACTACACAAACACTGCTAGCTACAAACAAAGACTACACAAACACTGCTAGCTACAAACAAAGACTAAACAAACACTGCTAGCTACAAACAAAGACTACACAAACACTGCTAGCTACAAACAAAGACTACACAAACACTGCTAGCTACAAACAAAGACTACACAAACACTGCTAGCTACAAACAAAGACTACATAAACACTGCTAGCTACAAACAAAGACTACACAAACACTGCTAGCTACAAACAAAGACTACACAAACACTGCTAGCTACAAACAAAGACTACACAAACACTGCTAGCCACAAAGGCTACACAAACACTGCTAGATACAAACAAAGACTACACAAACACTGCTAGATACAAACAAAGACTACACAAACACTGCTAGCCACAAACAAGGGCTACATAAACACTGCTAGCCACAAAGGCTACACAAACAGTGCTAGCTACAAACAAAGACTACACAAACACTGCTAGCCACAAACAAGGGCTACACAAACATTGCTAGCCACAAACAAGGGCTACACAAACACTGCTAGCCACAAAGGCTACACAAACACTGCTAGCCACAAAGGCTACACAAACACTGCTAGCCACAAAGGCTACATAAAGACTGCCAGCCACAAACAAGGGCTACACAAACACTGCTAGTCACAAGCAACCGCTACACAAACACTGCTAGCCACAAGAACTACACAAACACTGCTAGCCACAAAAACTACACAAACACTGCTAGCAACAAACAAGGGCTACATAAACACTGCTAGTCACAAACAAGGGCTACACAAACACTGCTAGCCACAAATGCTACACAAACACTGCTAGCCACAAACAAAGACTACATAAACACTGCTAGCTACAAACAAAGACTACACAAACACTGCTTGCTACAAACAAAGACTACACAAACACTGCTAGCTACAAACAAAGACTACACAAACACTGCTAGCCACAAACAAAGACTACACAAGCACTGCTAGCCACAAACAAGGGCTACACAAACACTGCTAGCCACAAAGGCTACACAAACACTGCTATCCACAAACAAAGACTACATAAACACTGCTAGCTACAAACAAAGACTACACAAACACTGCTAGCTACAAACAAAGACTACACAAACACTGCTAGCTACAAACAAAGACTACACAAACACTGCTAGCTACAAACAAAGACTACACAAACACTGCTAGCCACAAACAAAGACTACACAAACACTGCTAGCTACAAACAAAGACTACACAAACACTGCTAGCTACAAACAAAGACTACACAAACACTGCTAGCCACAAACAAGGGCTACATAAACACTGCTAGCTACAAACAAAGACTACACAAACACTGCTAGCTACAAACAAAGACTACACAAACACTGCTAGCTACAAAGACTACACAAACACTGCTAGCTACAAACAAAGACTACACAAACACTGCTAGCTACAAACAAAGACTACACAAACACTGCTAGCTACAAACAAAGACTACACAAACACTGCTAGCCACAAAGGCTACACAAACACTGCTAGATACAAACAAAGACTACACAAACACTGCTAGATACAAACAAAGACTACACAAACACTGCTAGCTACAAACAAAGACTACACAAACACTGCTAGCCACAAACAAGGGCTACACAAACATTGCTAGCCACAAACAAGGGCTACACAAACACTGCTAGCCACAAAGGCTACACAAACACTGCTAGCCACAAAGGCTACACAAACACTGCTAGCCACAAAGGCTACATAAAAACTGCTAGCCACAAACAAGGGTTTCACAAACACTGCTAGCCACAAGCAAGGCGTCAGGTGTGTTTACCTGGCCTATGAAAGCCAAACAAGTCCGGCTGCTCAAGGACAGAGGACAAATGCCTGTCTAGAATGTCCTCTACTTGACTGGCAGGGGTTTGAATCTACATGAAGATAGATTTTGTTTAAAAAAATCACCTAAGCTTTCAGGTTTACCCGGGATAAACAGATACCAGGAAATGGTCTTGGAGGTAAAGGCGACTAACATGATGTTTATCATATAGAACAGTAAGTACCACCTAGTCTGTAGATCTAGCACAATAGTTCTGGGTAGCCACATCAGGAAAGTGGCTAGACGCCCGCTTGTCAAATTCAAGGTTTTGAGCTCCATATCCAAACAAGTCTCACCTTTCTCCTTTCCCCCTTACAAAACTGGTTTTGCACTCAGCCTAAAATGGGAACTAGGTCGCGACCAGGGGGAAGAAGACAGCCACCTAGTGTGACAAGAAGAGATACAAATCAGCAATGAGATCGTAAGAGAAAAAGTCAGCACAGAACCAGTTATAAATCACATGCAAAGACAGTTAATTAAATAGTTTGCCCACTTAGAATTTCTTGTGTCGCTAATGATACAAGGCCTACACATATCCCAAACATTAAAAATGACATCTAAAAGAGTTTTGTAACTACTCTAAAGATGCCAACCTGCCAAATGACTTCGGCGACCTTGTACTCCGTCTCGTTGGTTCCCAACTTGTACTCCAACTCGTACGTCCCTGGCAACAGATTTGCCAGCCCCTCACCAGATGTGAGATTAGTGCCCACGTCTGGTGCCCGGATATCGGACACCGGATACTTCAATGCTGGGTGCCTGTCGCCAGTGATGTAACTTATCTGAAGAAAATCATCGATGATGTCACTGATGTTTCCACCGCCATATTTGATGTTTGGCATGATAACTTCCAGTGTCTTCTCCATTTTGTCAGCTCATGTGTTGTCTTCAATAGTTCTCAAACTTTATGCTACCAGAGGGCCAGCTAATGTCCACAGACGTTAAGGGATTGCGACGTAAGGGGGTACCTATCCCCATAAACGTCTAAGACAAGTGCAAGTCCGTTTTTAACAAGTGTATCCGGAGCAAGTTGTCGTGGAGAAGAACCGCCACAAAAACGAATACTGCACTGATGACTCAAGTCACCACATGCAAGCCTTTGACATTGTTGAAGAGGGAATGTGATGTCTGGTTTGACATTCGAAAGGTGGCTCATCATGTCATTATAGTTTTGGGCTATTGGAGAGCCACGTCAAACTAACGATGTCAGAGAGTGTTGGCAATATGTTTTTTGTACCTTGATTCTGAAGATGGGTCACATTGCCGCATGCAGGTTCCTGTGTGGATTCTGAAGATGAGTTACATTGCCGCATGTAGGTTCCTGTGTGGATTCTGAAGATAAGGTACATTGCCGAATGTAGGTTCCTGTGTGGATTCTGAAGTAAAGTTACACTGCCGAATGTAGGTTCCTGCGTGGATTCTGAAGATGAGTCACATTGCCGCATGCAGGTTCCTGTGTGGATTCTGAAGATGAGTTACATTGCCGCATGTAGGTTCCTGTGTGGATTCTGAAGGTGGGTTACACTGCCGCATGTAGGTTCCTGCGTGGATTCTGAAGGTGGGTTACACTGCCGCATGTAGGTTCCTGCGTGGATTCTGAGCTGGCTGGATTAGTCATATCTGAATATGGAAGAGTCTGCTGCTGTGATGGCGGATGGATGGTGAGAACTGATATTCTGATGTCCCCCAGTTGTTTGGCCTCTTCACTGATCAGTGGTGCGCCTGCAGCGGTAGACACACAGCCAACTACAACCGTGTCGCTTGTTTCCACATTGTTCTACAACTTCCGGATTGGTTCAAATATATTGTCAATAATCTACAATTTGATTGTCTATAATTTAGAACAAGTTCGTCTCTCCCTTGCAGCATTCAAGTCAATGAAGATGTTGCTCACGCGAACAGCAGACAGAGGAGATAACAGAGTCCCCGACAGTCCTCATTTACGAAGCTCACCTCCACACCGCAGGGTATACGAGAATCCAGATGAGATGAGATGAGATGAGAGTGAAAATTTCGTTCATGTAGTCTTGCTGGTCGGACAAGTCAATCGTCTTCTCGCAGAGTTTTCTTGTTGAGTTTAGCTTTCCACAGACAGATCTTTGCAAATTGGATGTTTCAGAAATTGTGAAGAAAAAACAGTTTTAACGTGATTTGAATATAAATTTTTCATATTAAAAAAAAGTTCTTGTTAATTTAAGTAAATATTTAATCCCTGAGTCAGCAACAATACAGTCGGTTTAAAAATAAATCATTGACCTAGTTAGGAACTTATATTATTGCGCAGAAGAAATTTCTACACGTGCTCTGCCGCCATCTTCGGAGTTCTCGTGTTAATAGTGTGGTAGCAACCGGATTGAAAGGCCACCTAAATTCTCTCCTGCGTGTTAAATGTTGTCCAGACCCGCTGCTCACTCCCGCTGAATCAGTTTCCCCCAGGAGCGGCTACTCCATCTGTTGTTTTGTGGCAGGGTCCTCTTGATTGTCAGCTTGAGAATCGCTGCTTGTATCGATATCATACGATGTCGCGTGCTTGGTCAGTCACGTGCGCTGTCTGTGATCTATCTTTTCTGGCTTTTAGGATGCTGTCGCTTGTCATTGTTGTAACACGATAAACGATTGCTGATTGCTGTTTGTGAAGCTTCCTTTCGATGTTTTTAAAGCTGATGACGTAATCCACACTGTACAACTCAACTCAGACCTGCAAAAGTAATGTGAATAGTAAAGGACACATGATGAGAAAACTAACAACAGCGTTAACTAGAATATCTTTGCAATGGAACCGATAGGGTCAGGGAAATAAAGGCAGACCCCCCCCCCCCCTCCCTCCCAGACAAACCCCACACACACATAAAAAAGTGAAATAACATGCAAGGAAGATCATGAGGTGAAATTACGCGATAGTTATAAAAAGAACGGGTTGAGTTGGTGGGGGTTCTATGCTCCGTGCGGTGGGGGGGGGGGGGGGCGGAATAGGTAAACTATATGTTTCATTTTCGATATCTCTTTTTATCTTTCCATCTCTATTATGTTTTTTGTCGCGCTTTGCCCCTCTCCCTCACTCAATGCCAGAACCAGCCTCTCTCTCTCTCTCTCTCTCTCTCTCTCTCTCTCTCTCTCTCTCTCTCTCATTGTCTCTTATCCAATACTTCCTATCAAAAGACACGAAATTACCCCCACACAGCACACTCACATTTAAATACACATTTAAAGCCGCATAAACATACATATTACCTGATAACGTTAACACGGAGAGGCAATCTATGTAAACGAAATAATGTAAAGATTGTGTAAACTGACTGCTGAACAGAATCCTTCCAATTGCAGTGACATCCCAGACGGAGCCCCACATGTCGCGAGCCAGTAATTAGTCCCGTCAACATAAGACATTTTATGACACGTTGTGACAACCAAAAAAGAAAAGAACAAATGCATCCATACTTCAAGAGCTGAATATTGAAGAGGGTTGGCTAGAAAAGACAATAAAACAAAGAAAATTGAAATATTTTGGTCACTTGAAACGTCATGGAAGTCTTGAGAGAACAATAATGGAGGGGTATATGCCTGGGAAGAGAGGAAGGCCAAGGAGAAGATGGGTGCATGATGTGGCAGATGATCTCCAGATGGGTGTATCAGACGCAGGACATCTTGCTCATGATAGGAAGGTTTTCCGGAGGGTTGTTATGGCAGCGAGGTTCCGCGAGGGACATGCTACTGAATGAATGAATGTGACAACCAGCAGCATGACGATGGAGGTGATGGCAGTGACGCAAGCGTTTGCCTGGCTCGAAACACAAAACTACACCCGCGTGTGTATAGTCAGTGATTCAATGAGTATGATCCGGAGGGTTCAGGCAGGTTCAGTGTGAAGACAATGGCTTGAATCATTACAGAAGTCCACTGTGCGTGGAGTCACCTTTATTTTTGTTCCGGGACACGCAGGCGTCGATGGAAATGAAAGAGCTGACAGGTTGGCTGGATCCGCTATCACTACCGACGGTCAGCCTATGGATCATGCTGATATTATCAATGCCCTCAGAGAAATAGGAAGGATAGAGGACTTTGGTGGCAGTGAATCCACATCACTCGCCAGAATGGCAGACTTGGGAATTAAGATCGGCACAGCAAAAAACGAGACGCACACCAGACACGTCAGAAGACTTGTCAATCAACATAGAACTGGTACTATTAGCCATCGGACGTTGGGGTTCATACTGAGGGGAGGATCTGAGTACCTATGGACATGTCCGGAGTGCAATGATGATAACCTAACTAACTAACTAACTAACAAATGACACGTTGTGATATTTTTGGTTCAGATAAAGAATTCATTCACTCCTATTTTTAACCCGCGAAGCTTAGCAACTGTCCTTCTTGGGGCGATTATGGAGAAACAAGATCGGTATCAAGAGCTGCCGCATCAGCCACTGAATGCAGGTTGGTTTGAGAACATTTATATAGCATTATCTTCTTGAAGTATTAATGGTCTTTGGTATAAACCACCCCCCTCCTTCCCCCCCCCCCCCCCCCCCTTCCATCTTTCCCTCTCATCCGTCATATCGTTCCTAATTATCTATAGATTTTAGTTGCTAGTATGCTGGTTGCAAGAAAAACACTATTATCGTTACAACAGCAACAACGCAACTTTGCTAGCACCATTATGATCGTCATCTTCACAACTGTCATCCTCACCACAACCATCATACTAACTGCCAACACTGTCATCGATACCACTAACACCACCATCATCATCTCTATAAACGACAACAGCATAAACAACAAAAGATTTACATCGCCATATTCATAATTGTATGTGTTACGACCTAAAGGCGCCCACATAGCAGCCTAGCTGTAAACATCAACACAACGTACCAACTACAATGTTAAGGGTGACTCAAAGTTAAGAAGAAGAAGAAGAAGAAAAAGAAGAAGAAGAAGAAGAAGAAGAAGAAGAAGAAGAAGAAGAAGAAGAAGAAGAAGAAGAAGAAGAAGAGAAGAAGAAGAAGAAGAAGAAGAAGAAGAAGAAGAAGGAGAAGAAGAAGAAGAAGAAGAAGAAGAAGAAGAAGAAGAAGAAGAAGAAGAAGAAGAAGAAGAAGAAGAAGAAGAAGAAGAACAAGAAGAAGAACAAGAACAAGAACAAGAAGAAGAAGAATAAGAAAAACAACAACAAGATTCGAGAAAAGGATGATGAAGATCTAAATTACCAAACGTAAAAACTCCTTCAGTGTCTACATTCGAAGTTAACATATTTATTATAGAGGTGACGCATTTGTTTGAGAGCACCTGATGTGATGACTGCCACCATGTGGCAGGTGATGCCCAAGCAGCACACTCACTGAAACACCAGCAGACTCACGGAAACACCAGCAGACTATGGATCACGCCATCAATGTCTAGAGAGATCTCTTGTACCAGTACTCTTCACACTAGAACAGGTGGTGAACCTCATTAGGCCTGGGAGTATGTGTTTGATGTGGGGGTAGAGAGAGAGAGACAGACAGAGAGAGAGGGGGTGGGGAGAGAGACAGAGAGAGAGAGAGACAGAGAGAGAGAGACAGAGAGACAGAGAGAGAGAGAGGGGGTGGGGAGAGAGAGAGAGGGGGTGGGGAGAGAGAGAGGGAGAGAGAGAGAGAGAGAGGGGGGGGTGGGGAGAAAGAGAGAGAGAGAGAGGGGGTGGGGAGAGAGAGAGAGAGAGAGAGAGAGAGAGAGAGAGGGGGTGGGGAGAGAGAGAGAGAGAGAGAGAGAGAGAGAGAGGGGGTGGGGAGAGAGAGAGAGAGAGAGAGAGAGAGAGAGGGTGGGGAGAGAGAGAGAGAGAGAGAGAGAGAGAGGGGGGTGGGGAGAGAGAGAGAGAGAGACAGAGAGAGAGAGA